ATTGCATGCCCAACTGTAAATTGTCACAACCACCACCACCGCCTCGTCAAACAAATCTTAAATTTGGTTTCAAAACTTCTCACTAATCGGTGCATCTTTTCTTGCAGTTGCATTGGCCACATTCGTTATCTGAACAGAACCTTATGTGCTTATGATAAATTCGTGGCGAAACTGAAAAATGGTAAAATGACTATACTGTCTGCTTCGTCTACCTTCCACGCCAAGAAGGCTTTCCTGAAGTTTTACGTCAAATATGTTCGCGAGATTCAATCTATTGCTCCATATCATGAGTCGGCACGGTTTGCTATAGATGTTTGTCGTCGACTGAGGAAAGAATGTATTGACAATGCACTCAACGAGGGCATAAGGCCTGAGGTGTCGGAATCTTTGCAATATTTGATAAAATTCAAAGCAGCGCTTCCAATAGACCTGCGGAAAACTGGCGAGCACGGTTACATCCAGTGAATTCATTGTCTCAATATTGCTTCTTCCTTTCTTCCTTCCTTCCTTCCTTACTTCCTTCCTTCCTTCTTTCCTTCTTTCCTTCCTTCCTTCCTTCCTTCCTTCCTTCCTTACTTCCTTACTCATTTCGTTCCCTCCTTAATTTCTTGAGCCTCTGACAAAACGATGGCTTTGTATTGCCTGGCACTTTGTCTATAGATTGTATATGGGAATATCCTTTCGCTTATTTGGAGTTCATTACTTTGATGTTCCTTCCCCTCTGTAAAGCCCGAAGTCAACTAAAGGGCTAATGATAATGATAATGATCCCTAAAATTTGTGTTCTTATTACCTCTTAAATTTAAACTGATCAACACCTCAAGGAGGGTTTCAATGGTTTGGAAATTTTCATTTCTTTCATTAAATAAAGCCAGTATACTCGTAAAAGGGAGTAAATTAAAGGGATGCACGACACCTGAACTTTCGAGAGTTTATTGTGGTGGCTGATTTCTTCCTTTCTTAATTACATAAGTTCTATTTTGAGCCCTTGTGAATCCTATAGATTTCTGTGGAAACAAAAACGAGGATATATTGTTACATTTGAAAGAGCAGTTTTGGCATTGGAAACATTGCCAATACCTATTCAAAGTTAAACTGATATTAGTCAAAAGAAGGCGACTTAACACCAGATTCTTCACACTTCTTTCTGTCCAGCCAAGTATGTGTGTATTTAAATCACTTAACTTCTATCAATCGTGACATTATCAAGTCCGGTTTATTTACTTTTCAAACGGTGGGATATGGATAATTAGACTACATCTGCAATGTCTGACCATCCGGTTTGCAACGCAGGTGGATAACATTTTTCATTCAATGTGCTCATAGATGCGTAAGTCTATCGCACTCCCCACAATCCCATGTCAAAAATCTCAATTCAGCATCAATTGAAGTTAAGCTTAAGTTAATTAAAACTCGTAAGCATTTAATACTGTCGATAGTAAGTGTCTCAATCCAATAAATCTGTTGAAAAATAGAGGAAGGCAACAATTATATTCACCATTTGCTTGTCAAAATGCCTATTTTTATTTAATTTTTACATTCCCTCACCAATCGTATTATTGGAAGCCAAATATTTCCCATCTAAATTCGGTTTTTGATTATCATTTTCACTTCCAATAAATCTAAAGAGAACACTTGCTATATCTTTAACGCACTCTTTGTAAATCTAACCAATGATTTGATATTTGATTGATTTAATCCATTAGTAGATTAAATTTTTTGATTTTCACATCATATTTTGGAAGTATGCTGAAAATGTATTGTGATTGCACCTTTAAATGAGGGCTGATATATGCTTAATTGTAAGTATTGAATTGGAGAGCAGACAATGGACAGATCGCCGCAGACATAAGACTCTTCGAAAAAAGGCTTAAGGTTACATTTTGAAGTTTACCATTCGATGCAGCAACAGAGATTGGAATAGAATTGTATTCTAGTTCACCACCCATAGGCCAACGATAAAGAACTTTGACTTGGGGGGGGATTTACGAAATTATATTTTAGTCTCATTTAGGTAGAACAGAGATTTTGTTGTTGGTTCAACCAAAAATTCATGTAAGCGAATGTTAGTGAACCCAATCGAACGCTACTTAAATGGATAAGTAAGCAATTGGTTATGGCAGAAATATCATACCTGCCAACCTCTTTTTCAACAGACCCAGTAAACCAATTTCTCGATCTATTGACTCCTTTCATTTTAAAATTTGATTTCTTCACAATTTAGTCGTGCTCTTCAATATTTCTGACTCATTTGTTTGAAACAAATGAAAGAACCATCAATAATTGTACTAACACCATAATGCAGGCATTAAATCAGTAAGATCCTCGCCAGTGTTAATGTTAATGTTGCTAGTTTTGTGCCCTCTAATCGCATAAAAACATCTTGTTGGGAGCAAAAACCTATTTAATTGTTACCTTCACGCATTCCACTTTATGAAATGGAATCATAAATCCATGTGATTCTTAACAATTATCAACATTCCGCTAGCCATTGGGTTTCACTTTTGTACATTGTCGCTAGGAGAATTGGTGACTGGAGACCAGGAAAAAATTGTCGTGCCTTTAATTAAATTAAATGAAGAAGTCAGATTGCTACTCAATCTATTATATTCCCAATTTTCGTTCCAGGTAATTGCAAAATCTCTTACCCAAATTTTATCGAAATTGGGGTGCGCAATTGACTTACCTCCACGTGGTGCACCCTGGGCAACGTATACTTATACGGCCAAATAGTCTATTGATCGACAGTTGACTTCTGACTTCAAACTACTATGGCCCGACTATTTGTCATATTTGACCCCTTCCACAGTACTCATCTTGCCTTTTGTAAACCTTTGTGTCTGTCTGTCTGTCTCTTTTACATCTGTGAATCACTCTTCCGTTCCCCCTTTCAACTATTTGTCACTTTGATGTTCCTTCTCCTCTCTGTGAAGCCCCGAAGTCAGCTCCAGGGCTAATGATAACTATCAAAACGCCTGCCATTTGATATAAATAAATAATTATATCGAAATTATCATCAGATGCAAGGACTGAAGCTGAAATCTCGAATACGGCCGTAATCACGCCATTCGAAATTTTCGTTTATCTGTGTATGTGATTCCCACTTCGTAATGCCGCACGATCCTTTCAACCGTTTATAGAGAAGCATCGGTTAGCATAGTATTTGTTTTTGCCCATATGGTCAATTTGGTCATTGCCATTTCCAACCCAGATGAGCACACGCAAGATATATATGCCAAGTGTCTGAGCACCTTGAAAAGGCATAATCACTGTTAACCTCAAGAAGTGCGCGATAGACTTACCTCCACGTGGTGCACCCTGGGCAACGTATACTTATACGGCCAAATAGTCTATTGATCGACAGTTGACTTCCAACTTCAAACTACTATGGCCCGACTATTTGTCATATTTGTCCCCTTCCACAGTACTCATCTTGCTTTTTGTAAACCTTTGTGTCTGTCTGTCTGTCTCTTTTACATCTGTGAATCACTCTTCCGTTCCCCCTCTCAACTATTTGTCACTTTGATGTTCCTTCTCCTCTCTGTGAAGCCCTGAAGTCAGCTCCAGGACTAACGATTACTATCAAAACGCCTGCCATTTGATATAAATAAATAATTATACCGAAATTATCATCAGATGCAAAGGACTGAAGCTGAAATCTCGAATACAGTCGTAATCACGCCATTCGAAATTTTCGTTTATCTGTGTATGTGATTCCCACTCCGTAATGCCGCACGAGCCTTTCAACCATTTATAGAGAAGCATCGGTTAGCATAGTATTTGTTTTTGCCCATATGGTCAATTTGGTCATTGCCATCTCCAACCCAGATGAGCACACGCACGATACATATGCCAAGTGTCTGAGCACCTTGAAAAGGCATAATCACTGTTACCCTCGAGAATTGCTCAACCCTTGCTGGTTTTCTAAACAATTATTCTTAAGAATACGATAGACTTACCTCCACGTGGTGCACCCTGGACAACGTACAGACTTACCTCCACGTGGTGCACCCTGGACAACGTATCTTAATACGGCAAAAGTCTATCACTCTGCATTTGACTTCTATTTATTATGATTAACTTGAAATGAATCTATAGGAGAAATCCCCCTCTTCAGGGTGAATAACAACTTCTACAGAAACTTCAGTGGAATGCTGGAGGGATATCACAGGACAGAAAGATCCGAGTTCGGAAAATCCTACAAACCTATGATGTAGTCATATTCACAATTATGAAAGCAAACCTTTCGGATGACAAACTGAAATACTACTAATTCCCAGGTTACACCTTGTACCTTCTACCAAAATACCGGCAAGGTGCAAGCGGAATACTGACTAGGGTAAAAGAAGGCCACACATCACATTAAGATCTAATCAAGAGTATGGGCTTGACGCAAGACATATGCNAATGTCAAAACCACTTCTAGATATTTGCAGTCTATAATCCACCCCAGAATAGTCCCAATTT